AGTTTGCGTATGTTGGGAACTTGTACATTAGTTTGTAAATCTGTGCTTGCTTTCTTGAGAAGTAGTAAAACATAGATTTACAAACGCAATTATTATGTAAGCTTAAACTAAAAATGCTCGGAGTATTTATTTAGCATTAAATGTTTAGCATTTTATTTCAATATGCTGAACACTGATGAAGGCGAAATAGAGCGAATCATCTTAGGTATGCGTAATGATTATGCTGTCGGCTGGGATATTATAAGTACTAAAATTCTTAAACGTTTCAAGTACATTCTTGTACCTCCGCTAACGTATATTTTCCGCCTCTGCCTCTCTGATGGGATTTTTCATACATGCCTGAAAAAAGCGGTAGGTATTCCTGTTTTCTAATCTGGAAGCAAAGATCTAGCCCGCAACTATAGACCTATATCGATTTTCCCCTCATTATCAATAATATTAGAAAATAATATAAACACTAGGTTAATTAAACACCTAGAACATAATAATTGTCTCTCGCCAGCACAGTATGGTTTTAGATCTACATTGCCTACTTAACTTAACTAATTTTATTACTAGTGAATTCGGTAAAGGTAATCAGACCTTAGGGATCTTTCTAGACATTGCCAAAGCATTTGACACTAAATCCATTTCTTCGCTGCTAAACAAATTTGAGGCTCTTGGTATAATAGATACGCAGCTTAAACTTTTCGCAGACTATGTAAGCAATCGGTACCAATGTGTTAAAATAGGAAATGTCTTGAGAGATGATGAAAAAATACCAGGTCTTGGCGTTCCTCAGGGAAGTATCCTTAGTCCTACGCGTTTCCTGGTAAATAGTAATGGTCTATGTATTCGGTGAGATTACATAGATTGTTACTATTATCCAGGAAAAGCCATATCCAGGAAAAAAATGGAAAGATAATATCATATCCTGACGACGCGGCTTTAATATTGTGTGTACTTGGTTAAAGAATAATCTTCTAACATTAAATGCTGACGAGACTAAATATATTCACTTTTCCATGAGCAAAAATCAACACGCTGTAACTAACACTTCCATATGACTGACAAATGAATGAATCTCCTGCCAAACACACCAATGAATCTCCATCCAAAACTCGTCAGTGCCGTTGTGTAATTGTACTGCTATCCAGGAAATCCATAACATAAAATATCTAGGAATCATAATCGACAATACCCTTTCCTTTAGGACACACATTGAAAGTTTAGTAAATAGAGTTCGTAAATTTAAATATGTATTTAAAAAAATGCGAGCTATAGCCGATTTAAAGTTGATCACTCAAGTGTATTTTATCTTTATGTCAATCAATCATCCAAAATTATATAACTTTATTAAAAACTATTATTTTGCCTCTAGAAAGAGCTCATAGAATGATTCTATAAAAATCCTCCTCCCGACCTTTCCGACAATTTTATTATATAAATCGTGTAAGGTAATGACTGTCCGCTATATTTTCATATATCACACAGTACTAAAACAACAAACATTACTTACCTTTTACGCTGATATTTCTAACAAATGACGAAAATATAAAGTCTGTGCCTCATAAATGAACTTGAAGCCTGATTGCCTTCAAGTTCATTTATTCAAATAGATTCCTTTCTTTTCTAGGTCCATTTCTACATAATAGATTAAATAGAGAGCTAAGTATTTATAAATTAAATTATGTCGGCTGTAAAAATACATATCATACATAAATATCCTGCGTATGTACAGGCTGCATAGATAAGGCACATGATAGTTACTAATTATAAACTTGTAAATATACTCTTATCGTAATAAATAAACATTCCGGACTGACTATGATAAAAAAAAATCCGGTACCTATAACTACACTGCATTAGCAATTCAAAAATGTTCGGTTATCCACCATTCCGTGCCTGAACATAATTAAAATTTGCGTTAGATGACGTTAGTCATTAATTATTTAGCGTAGTTTGAACATCTTTAGAGGCAGCGAGTCGACGTGCAATAAATGGGCCACAACGCCTTATATTCCTTATATTCAGAGGACAGAGCGAGCGCGTGCTCGGAATAAGTTACCGACACCGAGCTAAAGGAACTCAGCGATGCCCCGTCTACATAAAGATTTATTCCCATCTGTAACTGAGAGGCAGACGCGACAGTTTTTCCCAATTATAAGGTGTAAGCGCCCCATTTATTAACATCTCGTCAAAGAAATCACGATCGTTTCGCTTCTTGTTCCTTCTCTTTTACTTTTAAAGTATACTTCATAGTTTGTTTCTTCGTCTCCAAACTTTTAATTATACGGTAGCTAATAATTTGGAAATTAAGGTTCGTTGCTGAAGGTTTCTAACGATGTTACGCGCGGAATAAACGCCGAAACTAGACAATGGTTTAATATTTCGTAAAAAGAAGCTTACTAACCAAGCTTTTTTAGCTTTACTAAACCAATTTCTTTTACTTATAGCAATAAATTGGTGGTAGTATTATGATGTGATTTAAAGAAGAAATTGAAGGGTATGATAATAAATGTGTCATTATTATGTTCAAAGACAATCGAGTTTTAGTTCGAAACTTTTTACCTTGATCACTATACTACATAACTACTTTCTTACGGGTGTAATGTAATCTCTTATGAAGCCTAGTGAATAATGTGAAGAAGAAGTCACTGTGAACAGTTTCATTGCGTGATATAGAAATAATAAACGAAGAGGTGGTGGACTTGCTTGTATTGTGAGTGAGAAGAAGTAAGAACTTGAGTTCTTTTTAGACTTGGCTAACATATACGAGTATGTAACCTACTACATAATATATTGCCTAATAGAATGTTGGTCACTCACGCTTCTGAGAAATAAAATGACTACATAACATCGATAATAGAAAACCAAACGTTCCGGTTGGAATTGCGTGCTGTAAAAACTACTGTAAAATTATTAAAATTGTTTATTACAGATCATGTATTGCACATTGATAGTGCGGATTATATTGCAGTTTAATTACAGCTTGAAATTGATAATTTGAGATAATGTTCATTAATCACTTCGTGTATTTGAAATATATCATCATTAGCATCCAGCTGTTGACTAAACTGAGTTTCAATTCTACTCAATAAAATTTGAAAGACTTGAGAAATTCCGATAAAGACGCCTTAAACGTTAGAGAATTATTCTTTATCCGATGACAATTTCTATGCGAATAAGTTAGAACATGAACTGGGGAGTGTACCATTCAACATGCGTTCTCTCTCCTGTTTTGGCGCTTCCTGTGAGGACATCAGCACCTCGTAGGAGGAAGCAACGGCGCTCCATGCACTCTTGCTCTGGCCTATGGACAAAACCAAGGTCGAAAGCGAGACACTAGAACTGACTGCCGCGATAAGATCACGACGCTGGCCGGCCCAAGCTGGGCAAGTGTGGAGCACCGTGTCGTCAGGGCAGTCATCACAATGATGGCACCGTGACGTACGAGTTTCCTGCACTTCCTCCGGCTACTCTCGTAAGTCGGGTCTTACCGCTGCTATATTGACGTGCCCTGAACTGGGCCGCGCAAGCTGTTGCTCCCACTCCGCCACCAAGATCTGAAGGAGCTCAGCTCTTGAAAGGACAGTACTGTATCGCAAAGAGTCCCTGCATCCAGATCCCAGGATCTTGATCTGTCTACGAAAATAGTTTTTATGATAGTTGTGAGATCGAAAGTTGATCGGAACTGAATTGAGACCCAACTTTTATTACAAGAATTAGCCTTCTGACGACGCTCTTTACTGACGATAAAACTTTACTATTATTTTTATTTTTTAACTTAAAAACCAAAACTTTAACAAAACCAAAAAAAATAAAGTATTGTAGAGCTTTTAGAAATAAAAAAAAGTGTGTCACATCTGTGAGGGTAGCGACATAGTGTTGTATGTGCGAGGCATGGACGTGGTGAAACTTAGGCGTTAGCCGACCACCGACAACTTTCTTACACAACTCGCCACGGTGCACCGAAACGCCTGCTTCCTTCTTTGTCATTAAAATGGTTTATTGGTGTAATATGCAATATTTTATCCCACAAATGCATGTGTGACTCGCCGTAATAGGCGTAGTTGCATACTATTCAGAAACTTTTTGATAAATTGTTTGTAATCAAACTGTTGCCCTGTTCTTGGAAAGTAAAGTACCCTTTGTAGAGTTAGTAGAAAAGACCGTAAAATATTTCAATAATATAATTTAGTACTATGGTATATAGTTAAACATCAACAATTATTTTTCAATAGCCCTGACTCAAAAATCATTTAAAGAAGAGAAAAGAGCAGATGTATTCTGACGGTTGATGCACACAGATGTGTATATGCGGACGTTAAATTCATAACACCCTTCCTTGTTGTTGTTGTTACTTTCGATTTCTGAAGTACGACCGTACGACTGAAGTTTGAGAGAAGCAATCTTCTTCTAGTTCATACTAGTACTAACAAAATTGAGACATGTCTCAGGTAGTAAAATTTTAGTGTGGTTGTTCCATTAAATAGGTAGATCTTGAAAAAGCTAGACAGGCAATAAAAGCATGAATTAGTAAATGGATGTGAAAACAGTATGGGTTGTATGTATAGACAAAAAGCCTGATAATTCGCCTTCCAAAGTATGATATTGGGAACTTTTTATTACAGCGAGATCCTTTTATTATTAGTCTAAGTTTTTTCTACTGGTTACTGGTAGGTGAACTACTAGAGATCCTTATTACCCGAAATCACTTGTATTATTATTATCATACAAGTGAATTCTGCTTACTTACTCACTTACTGCGTTCTATACTAGAATAGAATAAAAGAAAGAACAGTACAGCTGAAATTTGGTGTTACTATCAGTCATTCAAATCAAGTAGTTCCTCTGAGTGCTCCCGCTGGACTACGATAACTATAAAATTGTTATATACAAAGTGCTAAACTAATCCCGTAAAAACTATCTTTTGTTATATAGCCCGTATGTAGGTACCTACTAACGGACAGATAGTAAAAATTCATACAATGCCCCATAAGTCTGTATTCATTTCAAACTCAGGCACAATGTAAAAACGGGACGGCAGTCTCTGTAGCCTTAATATCCGCTGTTTCAGACTCGTAACCGGCTAACAATATTGCATTGCGTACGCCACGCGCTAGTTCCGTACTTATCGCAAAAGTTTCAGCCGCCGGCTCTAGAGGGGGACGGGTGGTGCCGTGGGGTGGTCGGGGGCAGGCGAGCTCACTCGCTGCAGTATCGATCGCGTCTGCTGCACGCTGCAACGCTGTCTTCCGCAGATCAGTCCTTATCGTCCGCCGGAACGAGCCTCCGCCACACTCCTCCACTAAAAAGGCTTTGCAACACATCCTACATACGACTGCGCGGCTCTACACGCACGCCTGCATATGTAAGTATTGAGGCGTGCGCTTACGCTTCACAGCACTAAGCTTGTTTATTGAAAACGTTCAATGTTATGTCTCAGCTTCTACGTGCAGATTGTACTTACACAGAATTTATGGGCACATAAAAATGATGTTTCTCTCTCTCCGCAATACAGTTGACAATAACATCAGACAATTTTATGATAGCAGTTACACTGAAAAGTAAACATATATTTACTGAAAAATGATGAAACATATGGATTAAGTATGTATATGAAACAACACCTTTCTTAATCTGGGATATGCAAAGCTACCAACCTTTTGTTTGAAATTTTCTTTACATACTTTCCGTGTTTCCTCTCCTACCAAGCAAACATTTTTTTCTGTATAAGTTTTTAATACCTTTAACGAACAGTTTTGAACTCATTAATTTCAGAAGTCATAAATAACATCGCCATTAAATAACAATATGAAATCACGAATTAACAGAAACAGCGCAGCGTATAATATTTGTTAACTTTGTGCTGTACCAAAACTTAGTTTAGAACTGTCGCCTACACTGGCTTGACATTTCAAGCATTAAATTCATTACAGTTGGGGTGGTTTTATAAGTGATGGTTAAGGTAAGGGTAACAACACGCCCGACTGTAGCTAACTATAAAATTTATAACGAAAGACCAAGTCGAAAGTTGCAAGCGTTGAAAAATATTGTAAGCTGTACTCGTTTCGGGCAAATTAAATGAAAAACGAAGTTTCACCGCGTGGCCGACAAAGTTGGCCACTCAAGTTTCGAGCTCGGTAGAGATCCGCGCATACAGACTACACCCGTTCTTCTCACAATACGTAATACATAAACTGTACACAATTACAGTTTTATTTATGAAATAAAATCGACATATTCAGGTGCAAATAATAAATAAAGTGTAAATTCTAATTCATTGCTAAATTACTTCATTAATAACACTAGACGTCGCCTGGTGGTCGAATTATAACTTAAACTGTCATTGACTTTTGTACAATAACAGCTCGAAAAAAATATTGGGCCCCTATGGTTTTGTGTTTAACTTTATGGTCCATATTGTTTAAACATTCTCTCAAGTGTATAGGTACAAATATATTACACAAAACATTAAGTATTCCAAATAATAATATGATGCGCTTCAAAAGGTACAAAGATTTTTTTTCACGAACTAATTTATATAGATAACATTAAAAATCTGACTGACGGGCCTATTGGCCTATTGGTTAGTGATCCGGGCTGCTAAGTCATTGGTCATGGGTTCGATGATTGCCAGCCAAGACAAATATTGTATGATGAGCTCGATCATTAGTTCTGTGTCTGGGTGTAATTTATCTATAATATGTATGTATTTACAAATATATATATATAAGTATGTTTTTCAGCAGCCTGGTTATTATAGTACAGCCCCTGCCAAGTTGGGCTCAGGTGATCGTGATGAACCCCACACGAATTATTATTATCCTCGACACATCAAACCACATTAATAAGGTTAAGTGTACTTTGCATTAGAAGTACTGATAAAGATCTCTTTATACACAAATACATATTACACAAAGTAACACAGAATAGATCTTAGATAACATATTTATTCAGGTTCAAGAGTAATTGCGAGGCTAGAAGTGCTGATGTAGCAGTCAAATATAATAGTTTGTTACGCACCTGAATATGTAAACAGTGTACCAAACGTGCACCGTGAAAACTATTTCTTCGGAATTGAAAAGAAGATAAATATTATAAATATACGAATAACTTACAGACCACGCAGCACGCAGAACTGGACACAAGATGGAGCTGTACTATTCATCTATACTCAAACTTCTAATTTGGGTAGACTAACCGGTAATGAGCATTCTTTTAATTTCAACGAGACTTAAATAATTTTACTTTTTAATTTTATTTTACATGGAGAGCTTACGGCTAAATTTACTATACATATGATATTTATATGAGCCATTTACGAGCTCCAACATGTAGGAAAAAGACAGTACTATCTCTCAACTATCTCAATAAATATATCCCAACAATACTTAATTTGAAATTTAGCTAATTTTTCATTCTAATGATGATGAATGGTATTATATACACACCCGTGTTGAATTCATAGTTGCATGTAAAGCTTATTTATGATTAAGAAAATGAGGCATGGTGTTTACCTGTTCAATTTAGAACCGATGATCTGATCTACTTCCACACCACGACAGATGCTAATTATTCCGTAAACTGCTGATGAGTAGGTAGGTATACCATGTCAGAAACAGATATACCTGGAATTGCATGCAAATGACACCACTAACAATGCTTATCAATAATTGGCACTGATAAACACTTATCATGACAAGGGCGGTGTCCTTCTGTCAAGTGACTTATAAAAAATATGGACAATATATAACTACTCATGCCTGCATTTACAAAGGGCTGGGTAGAGGTGATTAAACTCTCACATTGTATTTACCCTCAAACAACCACTTACTGACATAGTAAGTGGTGCCCATATTTATGAAAAAGTAAATAAGTTAGGAGATGCTGATTATATTTTATTTAATAACATGTAGAAAATGGTTCCTAAAAATATTATTAAAATATGATGTCTTCCGTGTTTTGTCACCTCTATTCATCTCGTGGGAGTCTAAGGGAGCAAACTACGCAGGACAACTGCACTGTAAAAATAAAGGAAACTCGACACAAACCCTTTTTTTTCTTTTTGTTTTATTTTTTTTTTTTTACGTGTGGAAATCCCCTCGGACCGTCACCCCGCCGGGGCTCTCGTTCGGCGGGGCGGTGTGTCGGACTCGAACCGACTAAAACCACACGGTGTGCCCTCTTTGCGCTTCCAGTTTAGGAGGGGTCCAGGTAGCTATCTCCTTCTGGACCCCTCCCAGCGCCGGCCCGCTCCTGGTGCGGGCTCCATCTCAAATAGACCTTTCTTTAGGCGAAGTCCGGCACACGCGGACGCCGCCCCCTCGCGGCTGGCCAACTAATGCGGGTGGAGGGGAGAACCCATCCCGTCCACCCGCGGCCACACTCAGGGCGGCATGAGGCGCAGGTAAGCGCGCCTCCTCCGCCCGGTTCGCTGGCGGCGGATCAGGTCCGAGTGGAGGTCGTCCTCCCGGGCCTTCTCCGCCGCCTCCTTCTGCGAGATTACTTCCTCGCAGAAGGTTGCGACCGCGGTAAAACAACTGTCGCGAGAGATCCACTCCGATGATTGCAGTGAGGGCCCGGCGCTGCGTTGCCCATGCGAGGCAAACCGCCAGCGTGTGCTGGGCCGAATCCTCACTGCAGTCGCAGTGGTGGCAGGCGGGACTCGATTCCCTCCTAGCGACCGAGTACAGGTACTTTCCGAAGCAACCGTGCCCGGAAAGCACCTACGTCAGCCGGAAGGAAAGGGTCCCGTGCTGCCGCCCTGCCCACTCGGCGATGACCGGCTGGAGGGCCTCCATGGCGGCGAAGCCAGCGCGTGGAGTCTCGAGCCGGAACGACCATCTCACCATGGTGGCTCGGCGAGCGGCTTCGCGCCACTCGCGAACGTCTTCGGGCGGAGGGCGAAATCCGATCTCCGCCCGGAAGTCAGCCACTCGCCGATAAACTTCGGCGAGCACTTCCGCCTCCAAATCTCACGGGGGTGTTCCGGCCAAGGCGCAGGCCGCCTCGGTGGACACCGTGCGGTATCCGCGTATGGCTCTGATCGCCAATATCCTCTGGGGGCACCAGAGGCGCGGCCTATTCGGGGCGGTCAGAGCCGCCACCCACACCGGTGCACCATAAAGCGCCATGGACCGGACAATCCCCGCGTACAGCCGCCTCGTGGGAACACTGGCCCCGCCCAAATTGGTCAAAAGTCGCCCTTATGGCGGAGGCAGTGTCCACCAGCTTCGGACCAAGCTGTCGGAAGTGCTCGTCGAAGAGCCACCTACCGTCTAGGACCAGACCCAGGTACCTCATCTGGGCCCGGACCGGTACAAGGACCGAGCCGATCTCGATTGAGGCGCCGGCGGGTGGACCACGACGGGGCCCATGAAATAATAGGGCCTCCGTCTTATCCAGGGCCAACCGCAAACCCAACGCCTCAATGCGCCCGACCACCTGGGAAACTCCCGTGGCGGCCAGGCGCGCCGCCTCCTGGAAGTTAGCCCCCCGGGCCGTGACTAAAGTGTCATCTGCGTAGCAGAGTACACCCAGCCCGGGGGGCAGACGCCCTCGTAGGGCCCAGTCGTATCCAATGTTCCACAGGAGTGGTCCTAGGACAGACCCCTGCGGAACACCGCACGACATGGCCCTGCGTCTCAAGACGCCATCTCGGTCCTCGTACATGACGGTTCGCTCCTCAAGATAGTCTGCCACCAGCCGCCTCAGGTACTCCGGCACTCCGTGGTAGCGGAGCGCTTCCCTGATGCAGCTGAATGGCAGACTATTGTGGTGGTGGCGATGTCCAAAGACACCGCCAACACCACTCCGCCGCAGCTCACAGCCTCCTCGGTCACGGCCCTAAGGCGCATCACGGCATCGATCGTCGAACGCCCCTCTCGGAAACCGAATTGGGCATCCGACAGATCGGGGCCAACCTCGCAAAGGTGCCGGACGATGCGGGCAGAGAGCACCCTCTCAAAAAGTTTACCCGCCTCGTCCAGCAACACGATAGGCTCATAGGCCGCAACCGAATCGGTAGGCCGTCCCGGCTTCCTCAGCAGGACCAGCTTCCCGCACTTCCAGCGCTCAGGGAAGCGTCCGGACGCCAGGCTAGCGTCCAACACTTCCCTGAGGTGATCCGACATGTAGTCGAGGACTCGGGCCATCACTCGGGCTGGAACCCCGTCCGGCCCGGGGGCAGTGTTCTTGGATCTAATCCGTAGAACAGCCGCCCCCAACTCCGATTCCCTGACGGGCGGAACATCAGCCTCGCTGCCCCCGTCGTCTCCGGCTGATGCAGCCATCGACGGGGGTGAACTCGACACAAACACTATGCCAA